CAGGCCTGCCTGCCCACGCAGGGCCACGCCTCTCCAGACCAGTGCCCTGGGGACCTGCCCCTGCCTGCCCTGCGTCAGGCAGAAGATCCTGCAGATGCTTGTACTCTGGACCCTCCTTGAGCACAACAGCTGTGGTCAGGGGTCACAGCAGTGGCTCTTCTCTCCTTTGGAGGCCTTTCTAGCTGTCCAAGGTCCTCCAAAGAAGTGGCTCCGCCTGGCAGCTGAGCAAGGCCTCTGGTTTGCTAAAGGAAGCCCAGGAGCCTCAGAGGCTGTGGATCACTTGTGCCTCCACATGGACCTTCTCGGTCCATGCAGAGACAGCAGTGGACGTACTGACTAGAGCTGCACTGGGGAAGGGGGGGTGGGGCTGGAGAGTACATGGGAGGAACCCTGGTGACCTCTCTAGGTGGCAAGCAGTTCCAGCACAAGTGGAAGTCCCGTGCTGTGAGAGCCTGGGTGGCAGCGTCCAGCCCAGCTCTGGCTTTGGCTGACCCGAGCACAGCCAGTGCTGGGCGGGCAAGTGTGGGCCTCAGGTGCCCTCTGTGGAAAGCAGTCCTGACATGCCCGTCAGCGTGGAACACCCATCAAAACCCTGAATCAGGTGTAAGGCCACTGAGGGAACTCGGGCGGGAAACCAGGGTGAGCAGGCCAAAGCTGCAGGCAGCACGTGGGTCAGCGTCCACCATATGGGCCCCAGCGCCCTCTGACACAGGGCACTAAGACGTCTCAGCTTTCTGTCCTTCCTGCGAGGGTCTGCATCTACACGCAGAGGAAAGTTAACCCTCTGGCAGTGCCCGGGAGGCTGCAGCTGAGGCCTGTGGGCAGGAGCAGCAGGTGCACCAAGGTCAAAGGCCCAGTGAAACCTCCAATCCCAGGGCTGTCTCTGTGTCCCCCTCCTGACAGCTGTGGAACAGTCCCGTCGGACACCAGAGCCCTTGCACTTCGCATACTCTGCATCCTTTCTGTGAGGGTCAGAGGTAGGAAGCAAAGCTACGCTGGCCAGAGAGAAGAGGAATCAAGGTCAGCATGAAAGTGGCCGTTACTCCAATAAAATACACGTGAAGAGATTTGCAAGGGTCCAGTGAAGTGTGTCGTTATTAGAAATTGTTAAAAAGAAAAACGATTGTGGGTTAAGCATCACAGTCCACTGTGGACGCGGGGGAACTGTCTCAGTGAGCAGAACCTGGTCCCCTTGCCCTCTTAGCAACTCTGACAAAGGAAAGACTGGCTTGGGGCCCACAGGAGGCGTGGCTGAACAAAAGTGTCCCCTGGCACTGGGGCAGCGTCTGGAGAATGACGTAAACCACACGTTCTGGGGAAGGCTGCTGCAGGCAGGGAGACTCCTGAGCTGCCGCAGGTACTTGCTGGACAGGCTCGGCCCCCCGAAGTTCCCTGGGCACCAGCTGCTTTCTGGCTGTCAGCCTGGAACGCAGGTTTATGAGGTCAAGTCCAGTTGGATTGGGAGGGAAGAACTGGAAGCTGTGTTTGGGAACCGTGCATTCTGACAGGACAAGAGCATGATCCTAGTCCTGCGTGGGTCCCTTGGGATGCAGGAGGGCTGTGCAGTCTCACAGCCATGCATTTCCCAGCTCAGGCTTTGACCTGATTTCCTTTCATAGATTCTGCAGTTACAGCCCAACTGCTGGTTGGAGCTCGTGGCAGCTCCCAGCCTGCGGTGCTAGGGCTTGAGGATGAAGTTGTTGCCCCAACGTGCAGAAGGCCAAGGAGGCTCGTGCCAAGGTTGTGGCTCAAGAAGAAGTCCTCCTCAGGCAGCGACGGCTGCTGAAAGGGTGAAGTGCAGGTGACGCTGCATGCTAACAGGGATGATGGGCTCCTAAGAGGGACAGAGGGGCCTGCCCCATCAGGGAAGCTGTGGGCGCGTGGTCGTCATCTGTCAGGACTCCTGGCTGCCACTGTGCACCTGGGGCCTTTTCAGCCCATGGTGGAATTGTGAAAATAACCAAGAAAGGGGTTGCCAATTAGGTGGTGTGCGGCTTCTGTCCTCCTCTGCCTCTGCCCACCTGTCTGCAAGAGACAGTGAGTGTGCGCACAGGGACACAGACGTAGGGCGGGTTTCACAGCAAATGCACACAATACACTGAACACTTGAGATTGTTCTTGGTACAATACAAACAGTCATGTTTGTGAAGATTTGGAGGCCAATGTGCTCAGTTTTAAGAAGGAATGTAAAAGAGCAATTCCTGTTTGGTAACTGCGCCTGCGGGAGCGCACCACCTCATAAGGTGAACTTCATCAGGAAGGGCCGCTGTGATGTGGAGGGGAGGAAGTCTCACCCTGAATCACGCAAGGGGCGGTGAGGGCTCCAATGAAAACTGAATTCAGTATTCCAGATGGCACCACAGCCCGCCGGGCGCTGGCACAGTGGACTCGGGGGTTTTACCAACAGCTCCAGGCTGGTCCTTGAGGCTGCACTGGACCTGAGCTGGGAAGAAGAGAGCAGAGACCCGCCAAGCTCCTCTGGCCCAGCTGGTGTGCCCCTGCTGCTCGAGTAGGAGTCCCGGTGGGACCAGCGTCCCCAGCCCGGTGCCCACGCAGACGGTAAGCTCCCCCACCGCCCACCACCCCCGTGCAGGAGTGGGCGGGTAGGAGTTGATCTTTTCCAGATATCACTCTGGGTAGGTAAAAACTGCCTTCACGGTTACTAAAAGCTGAAGAGAAGCCTGACTCATCGCTCACAGGCCTGGTGCGAGGCTCCTGGGACGGGCGCGGGCTGCGGGGCGCCCTTCCTGATGAAGTTCTCACTGGACCCTCTGCATTCGGCCTAGGCAGAGATGGGGGGTTTGATGACGCTTCCGTCCCACATCACTTTCTGAAGTCTCCAGGATTGGCCACGTTGTACAGAACACTCTGGAGTGTTGTAAAGATTTCAAAGCAGCAAGACACTGAGAGGACAGAAAGGAACAGAGCGCTGCACCCAGCGTCAAGGACAGTCCTGGCATGAGGGAGGGACCGGACGCGGCCTGATACCTCACCTGACGTGTGCCAAGGATGAAGGAGGCCGATGTGGAAATTCTTTATTAAATAAGGGCTGCTTTTCTAATCATTGTGTTTGAGTAATTAAAATTCAGGCAATTTTAGGAAACTGTGGCATGAGAAATAGCCTGGTGTTGGGCATGAAAACACCTGTCTACATTTCCTCGAGAGGCCAAGGATGCCCATTCTGGAGGTGTCACCACGCAAAACCGTGACAGAGAGTGGTGCCTTTGACTCCTGTTTACCCTGAACATTGCCTCAAAACATGAGGCCCCCCTGGCTCTCCCCCTTTCTACTCCGTGAGTAGATGGAGTAAAACATCAATTTCTACAATTTCCAGGAGGGGCAATCTTCAAAGGAAAATGAGGAGGGAAACCAGTATCGACCAAATTTGTAAGATCAAGAAAATGCAAATGTCACAGAAAGAAGTAATCCCAACAAATAGCATTCTGAAGCAAAGGGCACTCTCTCATTATTTTAGTATTTATAGAAACGTTCCTTGGATGACTTGGTACCCGTGAATGGCGCACCTGCTGCTGTCCTGCTTTGTCTCTGTCCTCCTGTCGAGGGCCCGTGACCTGCTCACTGGCACTCACCGTCCAGAAGCCTGTTCTTGAACGTGGTGTGGGGTGCGTGTGCTAGGTGTGTGGAGGGTGGGTGTGAACGCAGCCGATTCCTGAGAGGCAGGGAGGGCTGTGAAGGGAGGGCTGAGGTTGGCTCAGAGGAGGAGCCAGGGAACCAGGACGCAGCCCCAATATGCCCAGGGTATGCTGAGCTGCCCAGGGCCTCGGGGTCCAGTGGACAGGGACAGCGTCCAACCTGTGGCAGTACTAAGGGATTGGACACCTGAGGACGCTCCCCTCTGGTTGGTCTGGCTTCTCCCTGGGGTGCTGTTCCTCGCCACTTGGCAGACCCTCGGGCGCTGGACTTCCTCCGCCTCTGGGATCAGAAGTGCAGCTCCCAAACTCTGGGAAACCAGTGCTTCAAGGTCACCTTAAGCGCTCTTGACAAAAGGAAATCGTCTGTCAGGCATGTTATACAAACCAGTATTTGACAAGCTCAGTGACTTGATTCAGTTATAGGTAAACGTGAGAAAAGTGCATCATCTCAGTGTGATAAAGGACCAGTCTGCACTAACCTGGCACTTGGTGGGACTCTCCCACGTGGAGCTGCACATTCCTGGCTGGTGCCTGTCCTGCAGAATTCCAGACCACGTGCTGTTCCCTGTGCAGTGGAACAGTGGCAGGAGCCAGGCCACCGTCTCTCATGCCACCGGCCCAGAGGTGCTCCCGGCCTGCAGCTGCCTCAGAACTTTGCCAAACCCCACGTGGACGAGACTCTGGCTAAGCAAAACCTCTCTTCAGGTTTTAGGTGAAATAGTAATTTTAAAATTACTATTTTACCTAATCGAAATCAGAAGGGGAAGAGACAGGACAAGACAATGAGAACAGGAAGGACCCTCTAAGGACTTCATAGCCCATCAGTAATGAGAATGGAATTCACCATCGGCTTCCATTTTAAAAACAAGTTCATCCCTACCTGTTCATAGTTTTTATATGTTTGCTTTGACTTTTGTATCTTCCAAATGCGACTTCCCCTCAGTTTTTTTGTAAGTGTCATATAGTTTTTAATCTTCTGTTTTTGTTTAAGTTTTGAAAACTTGAGCTCCCACCAGCGAGTTCCAATCTGGTGCTGGATAGCTCTTGGGAACCCAGACACAGGCACAGGTCTTCCATGAGCCTTCCTCCAGGGAGAAGCCCATGGATTCCTCCCCCGGGACCAACGCAGGCTGCAGCTGAGCTTGCACCTTGACGGGCAGAGAGGCTGGCACACAGTGGGCTCTGAGGGTCCTTCCTGTTCTCAGTCTCTTATCCTGCCTGTCTTCATCCTGACTGACCTATGATAACCAGAATTGCCCTCTGCAAGTAACAGAAATTCAAACCAAGCCAACCTGCAAGAGCACGCTCACACACACACACACACACACACACACACACACACAATCACTGGTTTATGCACTTTATAATTATGGGTAACTGATGTTTACATATTATTGTCTTCTCCCCACCAAACGCAGAGTCATGCACGTAAACTAGAGACGTTCCTGTTTTAAATGCTGTGAGAATCTTCTGTTAGGAGCCCTAAGCCTCTGCTCTATCCCTGCAAATCATGAAGGATGTGGGGTCTTGGATGGGGAGGTCACTCTCCAGCTGAGCATCATCTCATCTGTAATCTCTTCTGTAGAAGACTGATTTCAACTTGCACTGACCTCAAAGCCCAATTCAGGAGTCTTCTGTTCTCAGTAGGGATTCTCTCTATAAAGCATAGGTGAGCAATGTACATTTACTAACAACTTTGTGCAAGACCCTAAGGGTGAACTCTCATTGCCTGACATAGGGTATTTCACTCCAAAAAAAAAAAAAAACGAGAATTAACTTTTCTCATCCGCCTTCTCCATTCCCGCCTTTGGTCTCCTTCGACCCATCCTGCCTTGTGAAGTCTCGACTCTCTCCTCTGAAGCAGAAGCAGAGCTCACTCTCAGAGGCCAGAGGACTGGCAACCCTGGAGCCCCCAAACAGGCTTGTGAATCATTAAGTCCAACCCTGCAGTCTCCCCCAAGGGGGGCACTTGGAATGTAGCTAAGGATTTTCATCTTTGCATTTATATTTAATCACATTTAATTGTTCGATTCTCCAACAGTGCTCCTTTTAATTTCTCTAGATGAACCCAGGATGTAAATATTTTCCAGTCCAAGGAAGAGTCTCCAGTGGGCTGGAGCTGGTCGATGAGCCGCCACGTCCTGCATGCAGGGTCTCTGGGAGCGTCTCCAAGGGCAGCCTCCACCTGGGAGCCACAGGAACCAGGATTTCCCACTTCTCCTCTAGGAACAAAGCATCGTGAGCTGCAGGAGAGGAGAGGAGACATATCGAGGGGTTTATTTTATGGCGATTGTGAAAATGGCTAGTGGGTAAGGTGTGGAGAGTTCATGGTGTAGCATGAGAAAAATGCAGGGTCTCTCCTGCCAAGAGTGACTGGCAGAGAGAAAGAGGAAGATATGCCTTTCTCTGTGGTCTGAGACTTTTACTAGAGAAGACAAAACCGAGAAAACTCGCTATGCACATTTACATGTTTCCTTAATATTTACCACTTGGTCCAATTTGATGAAAAGGAGTCAAGAGTGTGGAAGCAGAAGAAGTGGCCACCCAGATGGAGGCTCGCAGTTGCTGATCTTTCTGCTGCTTCGAGGACACTTGAGGCAGGCCAGCCGTCTCCCGCCACGTCCCCTCTGCCCCACAACTCACGCCGTGCAGGAAAACCAAGAGCAGGCACGGAGCGGGCACGGCTGCCCCGAGAGGCCCAGGCAGCTGGGACACGTCAGAGACGAGGCAGGCCAGCCCAGCGAGGTGGCTCTGGAGGGGAACTCTTCCGCTCATTTCCTGTGTTTACATCACACGTTGGACTGTTATCACATTAACGTGATGTTGATCTAACCTCATGTTTGTGTCTCAGCTAAAAAACGAAAGTAAGCTGGGAGCAGTGGACTCCCACGGGGATGAGTGGAAGTCAGCACTGCGTGCCAGCCTCGAGGAACCCACTGACCAGCCACGCAGACCGCTGCCCAGGAGGGGCCGAAGGAAACACCACCACGGTCCCAGCCAGAGCACTCAAAGGGCACAGTGGCCTAGCCACGGAGGACCCCTTCCTCCATGACAACACAAGCTTGATAAGGATACTTGGTTAGCAAATAAAATTGTAGGAAATATACTTGCTTATCAAGAAATATTCCAGTAATTGAGAAAGGTGTTTATTTTTTAAGTTACAATTTTTTCTTCCTTAAAAAAAAAATGGTCTTGAAAAGTACTGATGGTTTCTCGTTTTTTCTCTTCACTAGCTTCATGCCAGTTAGTGAAACTGACAACTCATTCTTAAATTGATCAGTGTAGACCATATCTGGCTTGGATGTAAGTCTTACTGAGCAACCCACCTGTGGTAAGAGCCCTCTGCTGCTCACGGTAGTAAAACCCTCCCACAGCCTCTGGACGTGTGGTCTTTGAAAATCAAGGTTAAATGTGGGGCTGCAGCCCCAGGCAGGGAGCTGCCTCTGGGATCCAGGCAACATGGGCTGGTGCCACCTGGATGCAGAGCAGAGCCCGGGGTTTGCGACTGCAGCTGGCGCCACCTGGTGGCCGCTGCGCACAGCAGCGAGCTACCCTGAGGCAGGATCCTGAGGCTACTTGGCACCCTGTCCTGGCTCTACCTGCTGAAGACACCCAGGAGGCAGCCACCACTTTGCTTCATCACTGCCTGGCTGCCTGTCACTTCCAAGACGAGAATTTTACCCCGTTATCCTTTGAGTTCTCCTATAAGTGCTCTTTATCAGGATTCAGATGATCTTGGTGAGGAGTTCTACCTGAATTTGAAATATTAAAAGTTACTGAGAACGAGAACAAGATTCTGGGAATGCTTCCAGGTGATGATTCCTCTGTGCATTCCTAGTTTTGCTAAGCATCTGAGGCTGGCTTGGGACTTGCAATCCTCTGGCCTTAGCCTCCGGAGCTGCTGGGATTACAGGCACTGCACCAGGCTTGGTTCGGCAAGATGTTAGGATAGTGGCGCCCAGCCCCTCAGTGGTCTCAAGAAGTGCCCTGTCACTGAGCAGGGACTCCTGCAGTCCAGAATGCCTCTCCACCCCCCTCTGAGTAGGCCAGGTGGGCAAAACCACAGCCCACCACCTGGAGAGAGGCCACACAGGAGCCCTCATACTGTTTTGACTTAGGACTTCTAAAAACAATTTCAATTGTGACAGGAGACAGTGGTTTTTAATTGATAAAGTTATTTTTTAAAGCACTATGAAATATTTTATGCAGAAAATTATAGAGAAATTAGAAATTGCTCATGATTTCACCACCTCAAAAAGTCAAACTGTTTTTAAGGGAATACATAAATGTGTTTCAAAAATTCATGTTGAGAATCATGAAATGAAAATTAGAAAGTCTTTCCTCATCTTCTCCCCCAAGTCACCCCACTGACCATGAGGAAGTTTCCCATACAGTCGCCAGGTTTGTGCATGTGCTAGAACAGTTCGACCTCTTGTTTTTGCACTTGATGTATTTTGGAAATCTTTCCCTATCATCACGCACACATCTGCATCATTAAAAGGATAAGAGAAAACCATCCACTGCCTCAGCAGGGCTTCCATCCGAGAGCAGAATTGGGGATAAAAGACTTAGGTACAGAGACACCTTCGACAGCTTGGGCTGCTATAGCAAAATAACACAGACTGAAGACACCCAGACTAGGAGCCTAAAGTCACACGGATTGATTTCCCATGGCTCTGGAGGCTCAGGAAAGATGAGGCTGGGTCCTAGGAGGCCCTTCCTGTGGGTGGATGTGTCTTGCTGTCTCCACCAGGTGGGGAGAGGGAAAGTGGACTCCCTGGTGTCTCTTGATAGGGAGCCAATCCTATGTGAAGGCTGCACCTGGGTGATGTCTCACTTCCCCAAGCTCCACCCCCAAGCACCATCTGGGAGCAGGGAGCAAGACCATTCAGTCCATAGCAATGACCCCATGGACCAGGAGGGAGGCCCTGAGGCAGTGTGGCAGCCGACCTCCAGGAGGACCCAGCTTCCCCTCTCCTGGCCTTCACCCCTTATGTGGACCCCACACTGGGCCCGGGTGAGGCAGCACACAGTGGCAGTGACCACACCCCTTTTAGAACTTGGTAAGGAGACCTGCTGCTCTTACTCTCCTTTGCCCCTCTCCTGACTGCTCCCTCCGGAAGCCACTGTGTGAGGAGCTGCAGACCCTGTGGTGGGAACAGGGCTCCTGCTGGGAGCCACACATGCAGAGTGGGGGTGGGGGAGCTCCAGCCCCGCCCAGCCTCCAGGGCAGCCCCGGTGATGACCTTGAACCTTGATCCTTGGAAACGTTCTGGGTTCCAACCATCCAGCTCAGCTCTTCCTGAAGGCCGGCCACAGACACTGGAGAATGAGACGCTTAAGCCGCTAAGCCTGAAGGTGATTTGTTATGTGGCAACGGATCACGCAGTGTTAGAGTGTTGCCCAAAGTCCACGTCTCCAAAACTCGGTCCCCAATGCAACAGCCAGGGAAAGTGGGGCCTGTCAGAGGGGGTGGGTCCCCGCGGGGCTGTGCCTCTGGGGTGGGTCGATGTCATCGGGAGTGGACTAGCTCCTGCAAGAGTGGCCTCCTTATGAAAGTAGCGTCAGGCCCCCTCGTGCCCTGTGGCACTCCTGTGACCCTTGCCCTTCCACATCCTGCTGCAGAATGACAAGGCGCCAGCCCCGCCAGAGGCCAGCCCCTGGGTCTGGGACTTCCCACTCCACAGAGCTGTGAGAAGCAGATTCTCTTCTTGACCCTTTCCCCAGCCTGCAGTTCTGGAGAAGGAGATGAATCAGGAAGTCAGCAGGAGCCGGAGAGCCAGTACGGATGCGGGGCCCCGTGGCCGTCGGATGCCCTCCCAGGACTGTCCAGGGAGCCCCAGGAGGGGTGCCTCAGCGCTGTCCATTTCTGGCAGCTCCGTCCTCCAGGCGCAGGACACTCGCTGGGTGCCGCCAGTCAGCCTTCAGTGAACTCAAGACCTTATAAGAACGACCTCCAGGTCACAGTTCCAGAGGCTCCGTCCATAGTTGGCTGACCCCGTGGCTCTGGGCCTGAGATCAGGAGGAGCGTCGGCAGAGGGTGTGGTGGAGGACAGCTGCTCAGCTAGGGGCAGCCAGGAAGCACAGAGAGACAGGGGAAGGGGCCAGGGGCAGATAGAGTCAAAGGGCACATCCCAGTGACCCACCTCCTCTGGCCACACCCCACCTGCCTGCAGTTAGACCCACAGTTCATTGAAATGATCAATCCATCAAGTAGATTCCCCTCTGATGATGTTCCCGCTCCCAGGATCCAGTCACGTAACCTCTGGGCACTCCTGCATCACCTGACCAGGAGCTCCTTGGGGGACATTTTTAGATCCAAGAGGTATCAGGGGCTCACTGTCCAGCACTCGGAGGTCACACGTGTGAGCAGCATGTGGGTTCCCAGGGGCTTCACACGCCACACCGTTAGGTGCACGTCTCCCTCTCAGCAAGGCCGTTGGGTGGCCTGCGCCAGCATGGTTGAATCCTGCTCCCCGCCACAGTGCAGGGGGTCACGCAGGGTCTGTAGCAACTGCAGATCTCAGGGCTGTTGCACGCCTTCCCGTTCGCCCCCACGGGTACCCCCAAGGTCAACATACAGTTCCCCTGGGGGTTGTTAAAAAACTGAAACTGAATACATTCACCAAGATGGATTTTTACTGCATATGGTAAGTCAAATTAAATTGTTAAGGCCTCTATGGGTTAATTGCATACGAATGTATCATGCTTAAGTAAAAAAATGATCTTTGAAATCCACGAAGTTAGTAAAAGTTTATGTATTTTAGCTGATAGAAGCTAAAGGAATGAAAGCACTACCCACATTGCTAACCCGGACCTCCCAGGTCCCTTGGACCCTCAGGGGACTCTTCAAGAGAAACTCAGCACTCTGAGGGGCCACACGGCCAGAGATGAATCACCACTTCCTTCTGCAAATCAGACATTGCAGCTGAGTTCAGCTCTGAGGAATATTGAAACATTGGTATTTTTCCCTTGATTTTGAGTTTCATGCTAAATTTCTTTGATTATACGACTTCCCAAAATATCTTTGAGGTTGACCTTAAAGTGCGGGGGCCTCACATCTCAGCCCAGGAAGCTACCACGCGACTCAACCGAGCCCTCTGGCTTGTGGATCTTTCTTTCTGAAACTGGATGAGGAAATCTGCTGGCAGAAATGATCTTTAGAAGAAAGGCCGTGACTCAGCCTCTGAAGTGGAAGCCGGTTCTCAGGCCGCAGGGTGCAGGGTGGGCAGGGAGCCTCATTCCGGCAGAGCAGAGGAAGTTGGTTAGCACCCCTGTGAGTCAGAAGGGAGCAGGGCAGGTGGGAGGCAGCGGCCTGACCCAGCGACACCCACAGGCACAAGCTTCAGACTGTGCCTCCAGCACCTGGTGCCTTCACCCACCTGAGCACTGGCGTCGGCGGGAAACCTCTCCTCCTCACCGAGTCTCCGTGTCATAAGTCCCAGAGTGACAAGTCCCGCGCACCCAGGCTTTGAAAGTAAGGACTCCCCAGGTCAGAGGTGTTTGTCTGTTTTGTTTTTAAGTGTTCTGCACATTTTCCTCTATTCGTGCCCGTGACGGAGCCTACGTGAAGGTCGGTAGTTCAGAGGATGCTGCATCAGTAAGATTTTAAGCATCGTCCATGCTCCCAGGTGCCTGCCATGTGCTGGACACTCTGTTGTTTATCCATAAGCCAGTGGTGTGCTTCGCTCTGAGAAATGGACAAAGGAAAACAGGAGCTCAGGTGTGTCCAGGGGTGTCCTCAGGGTGAACCTGGAGGAGGCAGAACCGGGTAGGAGCAAACTCAACTCCACAGGTAGCCTCTGGTCTCTCCCAGGCATCCTTCCCATGGGGTCTCCAGCCCTGCCTCTGCCCGCCCCCACCCAGGTCCAGGCCTGGGCTTTCCCTCCCAGAAGAGGAAGAACTCAGCTCCCAAGAGGCGCAGGGTAATGAACCTTCTTGCAAGAGTTGGTATGAGGAGCTTTCTTCCTCAAAACAAACCCAACGGCTTCCTGATGGACCCAGTCCTTTCAGTCTGTTGGTCACTCCCCATTTCCAGAAGACCACCTGGATGATTCAAGTCACAGAGGATGTGGCTGTTGCCAGTTTCCAGTCAGTGAATGGCAATGAGGCCACACTTCCTGTAGGACAGTAAAGCCCCACCGGCCTGTCCGGGTTCTGCTACTGATCCCCAGGCCCTGTCCAGCTTGGAAGAGATGAGGTCCCAGGCTTTGGGGGAGACTCTGATGTGCAGTTGCCCTTCTCCCCTTCTCTCCAGTGTTCCAGTCTGGGGATGACTGGGCTCAGTGCACCTGAGCACAAGCACTTTGCTAAATAGGCAGCCCTTGGACTGCAGCAGCTGCAGGCGAGGTTTATCCACCGAGAGCTCCTTTCTCCAGGTAAAGGCAAGACAGCCGGAGAGACCAGCTCAACTTCCAGTCTCCTAAGGGGTCTAGAATCAGGGCTTAGGTCAAAATGTGGGGGCGATGGAATAGCCATCTTTATTTCAATGAGTCCCAAAATGATTTCCCAACACAAGAGCAAAGGAAAACCAAAAGTCCCCAAAAGGAAAGCTGAGTCTCCCTGCAGCTACCAGCCCCTTCTGCCAGCAACCAGTAGTCATTACTAGCAATAGTCACGACCTTGGGCCAGGCCCATCACACACCTGACGTCACAGAGCACCATCTCCGTCTGTTTCTCTCTGCTCCTCATGTCCCCACTCATGCTTCTGAAGGTCTTTTCAGATCTGCCTGGGCCTCACTAACGGATCGGCTCACAGCTCACACCAGCTGGGCTTGGGCACAGGTCCTGAATGACCTGTGTGACGGACAGGTGCTTTTAACACCAACGACAGCATGACCCTGAACTCCAAAGTTGTAGAAGTTTCAATAAAACTCAATTTAAAAATCTAGCTATCTCTAAATAACTGCTTATTTGAATGTTTGATATTCACCAATGTTACTTTGTCTTAATTCTCATGTTTTGAATATTTAGAGGAAAACTAACTTGATAGTATGAAATTATAATATTTTGATTTTCTACACTGGTACTTATATTTGTATAAAAATCTACTGAAATGTTTTACACTTCGGATACAATTACATTCACTCTCAGTCTTTTCGATCCCATTAGTAGAATACAAGCTGTGAAGAAATTTTGGTAACAACATAACCAGTACCTTTAAATGAAATGAAGATTTTTTGAAAATTTTGAAACTAATAAAAAATCATTGAAACTTATGAATTTAAATTTTAAAATGATTATTTATTCAATGATCATCACAATACTTAGGTATGAGCAGTCATTAAAATTCTTACATCTTCCAGGTATTTCCAATATACTACACCTTTATCCATTTTAAATTTTCATTGGGTTAAAAGTATGATCTGGGTGAAACAGAGAGTATGTCTTATCTAGCAGCCTGTCACAGTTACCTGCAACTTTTCGATGTCTAGACTTAGAATCGATGACCTCTACTTGACGGAGGCCTTGGTGACTCTCTGGGCAGGCCAGGGAGGGACGTCTCTGCTCTCAGGACGTCTGCAGACCCTCAGTGCTCCTGCGGGTGGATCGCAGCCCCCCAAGACCCCTCCACGGGTGGGGGCACGTGGGTCGTGTGTGCCCCACGCTGCACCATGACCTCGCCTGTGGAGGGCCAGGGTGGGACCCCAGCACAGTGGCCTGCTCCTGGAGCCCAGCTGGACCCAGGCCCCCCCTTGCCACCATTTCATAGATCCAGACGGAAAGTGTGGGCCGAACGGCCGACTGTGTGAGGCGGGCTTGTTGGGATGGGGAGCTGGCAGGAGGCACTTCAGAGCCCCCTCCCCAGGGTGGCGTGGCTGACCCCCCTCAGCCTGCGCTCCTCTAACAAAGGCTTAGTAAGCACATCCACGCTGCGGGACTCCGGAGTCCACCACAGAGGGGCGAGGCTACCGCAGATTACCCAGCACCCTGGGGCTAGCACGTGCCACGTTGGCCAGCACCGGGAGCAATGACCAGAGCCCGGAGAGGCTGGTGATGACTGCTGAGACAACAGTGACCTTGGTGGAGGTGTCC